GGGGGGACTTGTTGATTTGAATAGACTGTGCTGTCCGTCTGTCCCTTCTGCCTTTGCGCTGCTGCCCTTTTGAACCTTTGTTTTTGAGTATCCGCCTGTGAGATGTTTAGGTGATTGTCATTAGATGATTAGTGTTATTTGAATATATGAGTTGTTTGTTATGTTTGTTTAAATCACCCTATTGCGTAGTGAGTTGTTTCACTAACGGTTTTCAGTTGTGTTAATAAACCTTATGTTTCTCTTTTTATCTAACCCCCTGGTCTCAGGGCTCGTTTATGTTACACCCCCTGTCGCCTGGCTGAGCCGGGTCGTAACAGTGATGAACTGCCTGCAAAGAGCATGCAGGAGACAGCACACATAAATGGCAAATGTAGATTGGCCGGTATCAGTGGATTCAGACATTATGTGGGCTTTGTCGTTAACCTGCCAGTACTATTGTACACACTAACATATATATGAAAGGGAGAGCTACAGCATCTTCTATATGTGCAGCAAATGCAGGCACTCGGATTCTTCTTCTTTCAGCTCCTCTGGCTCTATCTCACCTTATCCCCTAGCATCCTCTTCTGGTCCTCCTTCCCCATTCAAATATTATGCCCCATACTCTGATGTTGGCCCGCCTAAACTGATGCTTTACTCAATTTAAGCTTAAACGTAGATCCAGCAGAATGCACATCACAACCAGTGGGAGCCCTTTGATAACCAAGATAAACTTGAAGCTGATGAAATTTGGACCAATCCAAGTCTGGTTGGGCAGGGTTTGTTTCTCACAGACTGCTTGGGCTAAAAAGAGGAATTATTTGGCCCAATCAGAGAGTCCTTACCAGAGCTACCACAGAAGCCTTGGGCTAAAATATGAGCTGATTGGTTTGTGATCAGAGAACACTTGAGCTCGTGGGCACTTTTGTTCTGACCAGACAGTTACTTCACTTTAAATCTAGGACGCCACTGATTAATCTGCTGACTGAGCACGTAATGGTTAATTTTAAAGGGGATGCCAGTGCAGCCATATCCAGGCTGAGAGCTCTTACTGTGTTATCTGTTGTTGTTGAAGAATGTAGATCATTTTAAAAAAACAAAAAAAAATGGTTTAAGATTGCACTTCAGCAAATGCAATGGCTCTCTAGCATGCATCAACAGTCTCCTCAAACGTGTTCGGTTATTAAGACCTGGACTATAAATCTTGGTCCTTGCATATAGACCTTGCATATTGTTTATAGAGCTGAATTCTCTGTAAAATATCCTGCTACAAGTTTCTGGTTATGTAGCAGAAATGTACAATTTGTTTAAAGTCAGAAAATGTTGAACACAAAAAAGGAAAACTGGTTGTAAAATGAAGACTTCACAGCCTGACCAAACTGGGTCAGCTGTCTTGTTTTAGCCATCAGTATATCAATCCACAGCTAGCTGAAATAGTTCTGGTGGTTATTACAGTGGGTTTGCTGCATTCCTTCAATTAAACAACTGAATTCTATAAGAATAACTATGATTATTTACATTAATGTAACAAAAAAGTAACTGATTCCGTTTAATTCGTGTTTGACATTTTCATTTCTGGTGGTGGACTTTAGGATTTGCAGGAAACACTCGAGTTGACCCGAGAGCCATTTGAATGGGACATTTGAGTAAGGACACACTTATGCAGCTCAACAGTCGCTCTTTAGCGATGTTCATGCAAATGATGTGTAAATAAAGCTTCAGGAGCAGGGGGAGCTCACCTCCAGTGCACATCACTGAATTTGTATACGCTGTTATACGAGTGAGAGCTTTTTGTCCAGCTGTGTCCATCTCCTCTGCCTCTTTATTTTAGTATGCATGTAGGTCATGCAGAGATTAATCCTGAGCTGGGACTGTTGGGACCTGAATGCCTGAAGTGAAGCTTGCCAATCCAGGTGGGTAAAGCAGTGACTCATGATTCCCCCCTCAAAAAAAATGGGTCAGAGCACAGCACCTTTCACACCGAATAAATTTCTGCTAATCATTCGCTCTGGCTGCTAAGCACATACAGTTATGGAGGGTTACATTTGAATACTGTGATTTACCTGACAGAGAACAGACAAGATGCAGATGTCCAGTCTGAATCTAGTCATTAAAAGCACGGAAACCAGGTGAAATGTTTCCCTTGAACTTGTGCCACAGTGCTGCAGACCACGACATAATGTGATCTCTTTTTTATCTTTTCTCAGCAGAGTGGAAACAAAATGGATGAAGGGGAGGAAAAAAAGTACAAAAAAAGAAAGAAAATGCTGTGTTTTAAAAATATAAAAACAGAATTGACTTTGAAATATTAGCTCTTGAAAACACGCAGCTTTGTCTGTACCACGGCTGCATTTTTCAGTTAATGATTTTTTATTGAAATGACTCAGCATTTGGAAGATACAGAATAAAAGAAATGCAGAGGCGTCAATAAAATCCCCAGCCATCCTCGATCTTGAAGCAATCCCTACACCTAAAACCTGTCACACTCTACAGGCCAGGTTCATGACGGTACAATTAGAAGACAAGTGAACATGTTTGTTTCATGTGTGTCTGAACTAACCACAAGACTCGTGGAACAATGTCCTTTGGAAAGATGGGACTAAAGTGGAAATGTCTGGCCATGATGCACTGGAGTCTGGAGAAAACTAAACACAGCATAACTCAAAACACGTTTTATATTTTCGATTCTTCAAAATAGCCACGCTTTGCTTTGATTACTGCTTTGCACACTCTTGGCGCTCTCGATGAGCTTCAAGGATTTTCCGGAGATGCTGAGCACTCGGCCCTTTTGCCTTCACTCTGCTCATCCCAAACCATCTCCACTGGGTTTAGGTCAGGTGACTGTGCAGGCCAGGCCTTCTGGTGTAGTACTCCATCATCCTTCATTGTCCTGTTGAAAAATAAATGATGGGCCAACTAAGCCGGATGGGATGGCATGTCGATGCAGGATGTTGTGGTAGCCATGCTGGTTCAGTGTGTCTTCAAGTTTGGAATAAATCCCCAACAGTGTGACCAGCAAAGCATCCCCACACCATCACACCTCCCCCTCCATGCTTCATGGTGGGAACCATGCATGCAGAGACCATCCCGTTACCTTTTCTGCACTGCAAAAAGACATGACGGGTGGAATCAGAGATCTCAAATTTGGGCTCATCAGACCAAAGCACAGATTTCCACTGATTTAATGTCCATTCTTTCTGTTTCTTGGCCCAGACTAATCTCTTCTGTTTGTTGCTTTTCCTTAGTAGTGGTTTCCTGCAGCTATCTGACCATAAAGCTGGATCTCTGTGTGGCATTATCTGTAATTTCTGACGCTGGTGACTCGGATTAATTTATCCTCAGCAGCAGAGGTGACTCTTGGTCTTCCTTTCCTGGGGCGTCTTCATGTGAGCCAGTTTTGTCATAGCGCTTGATGGTTTTTGTGACTGCACTTGAGGAATTTACTGTAGTTTAGTCCAGTTCTTATAGTAATGATGGACTGCTGTCGTTTCTCTTTACTTAGCTGATTGGTTCTTGCCATAACAGTTGTCAAATAGGGCTGTCAGCTGTGTACCAACCTGACTTGTGATAACACAACTGCAGGTCCCAACCCCATTAAGAAGGCAAAAATTTCCACAAATGAACCCTGACAAGGCACAGGTGACATCATCATGAAGCCCAGTGCTACTTTGAAGAATATAAATTATATAAATTGCTACATAACTCCATGTATCTTGCATATATTTGATGTCTTCAGTATGTATCTCCAACTTTTAGTAATAAAATTAAAGAAAAACCATTAAATGTGAAGGTGTGTCCAAACGTTTGACTGGTAGTGTATATATATTTATTCTTTTATGTGGATTTACATTTTTCATTTGCAGGCCTTCAGTAAATTCTTACCCTCTTTGTGCTTCTGCTTCCTTCTCAGATGAGTCCACTTCCTGAAGGTGCTGGTAGGCGGGGCCAGAATACTTGGAAACTCCAATTGGGTTTAATCTTCCTTTGGGTATGGGCGGAGTCCGGCGAGGAGCTGACCAATGGGCTGCCTGCATTCTCTGGTCCGGGCTGTGAGACAGGGAACTGCTTCTGAGGAAGATAAAAGAAGTTAAATTAATTAAAAAAAAAAAAGAGTATTTGTGCTGTTTAATTAGATTTTTGCAGTTACGTGTGCTGGCATGTTACTCTGTGCAGGGCACATTGATTCTTACAGCTCTGTTTTGATCACGGCTCATTTTAAATTTGCTTCTTTCAGCTGGCGTGTTGCTAATGCTCATTCATCATCTTAAACTTCATGTATATGCTGATTATGTCATGTCATAAAAACCCCACACCAGTGGCTCCACCCCCATTTGCTGGCTGAACCTTTAAATACCCACTGTTGATCACTACCAAAGCGTCGATCTTTATACTCGTGTGATGAAAGTGTGAAAAGTGAGAATTAAAAATTGATAAAAAGCTCCCTGTGCTGAAGTTCCAGGGTCTCCAAAATGATTACTACAGAAGGTCATGTAGCAGAAAAAGGATATGTGCTCGGAGTTTCATCAGAAGAAAAAGGAGGAAAAAAAACACCTTTGAAGAAACTTGCTTTACTCAAGAAGCAAATTCCCTCTTCATGCTGCTCTTGTATTTTGAGTTTAGCTTTAAAGTTTTTTCTTTTTTTGTCCAAACACCATTTCAAGCTTTCATTCATAAAACGCTGCAGTTTTAAAGGCTAGATTTTCCTCTAAAAATGGGCTTCTTGGCTTTAACAACTGGAAGCTTACAGTCAGACTTTTAATAGTGCTGGCAGAGTTTTCTATAAAGGCTTTTATGTGAGATAAATCCTGCAACACTGAATTAGTCTTGGGCTGTTTTTTTCCTGGCTATTTTAGACTGCGGTGTCCCAGAACACTCTGGGATCCCGACAATAGCCTCTAACTCTCTCCCTGAGCTGATGAGGTTGCAAAAAACAAACCCCGATTGGTTGCTAATAAAATCATTTGTGGTGAGAGGAACCAAGTAATGTTTTTCTTCACAGAGAACAACCACATATAGAGAAAAAGGAGGGAGGAAAGTCTTGCAGGAGTTTAGCCAAAAGGTTAGATAGGTGGACTTTGTGGTTGGAAGGTTGTCTGATCCTATTTCTGGTTTGTCTGGGAAAATCTCATCTCAACTGCTGCTTGAATCCACTTGAAGAAAGGAGATTAACCCCCAGCTGCTCCTGGAGTTGCTTAGCAGTAACAGGTAGAAATCCATGTGTGCACTGACAGGCGGATGCCTTTAACTGAACTGCCAAAGTGAAGAGAAGGCCAAAAATAAAAGCATTACACGTGACGTTTGACGATTTCCAACTGGGTCAGTGTTTAAAAGGGGTTGCGTTTAGATTTAATGATAAATTGAAAGTCTTTTTCACACACATGCCGACATGAAATCTGCTATTAAATCAGTGCTTCGTTTATCGAAATTCCCTTGAACTGTGAAATCAAAATACCGGCAAATGGTCTAATGTATAAACTCAATCTGCGGGAGCTCCCTGCAAAGTGCTGTCAATGTGTTTGCTCGTGTGTACTGTAACAGAAAAAAACAGCTTTGGCAAGGATTTGAATGTGAACTCTCAGAAGCAGACACTCCTGCGTGCGCGTTCGAGTGTATTCCTGCTGACGAACATGCCAAAAACCCAGGCAGCTCTGACACACGGCTGAAAGCTGCGAGGAAAGACCGACTGGGATGTACACGTCTGCGCCGGCTCGTGTTCTTCTGATTTTATCTCCGTCTCATCTCTGTGTTCATGACTGTTATGGATATGCTTATTAATGTGTTTATAGCGATAATTATAATTACCATCATTCTTCTATAAATCAGCAATTAGCTTTGTCTGCACTGTAATGTGGATAATTCAATTTCTCTCTTCGCTGAGTCTCTGCTGATTACAGGAAAGGACACTGAAGTTGCCCGTTGTTGCTA